TGCAATAGTTATAAAAAGAAAGTAATATTATATTTTTAATTGAAATGCATATATATATATATATTCTATTTTTTTTTAAATTGACATTTATATTACTCGATAGAACAACGTTTCAACTTTAAATGCAGAAATTGCATGGTTATATTGTTCTGTAAATAAAATATTTCGAATTGAAGCTCTTGCCATTGTTTAAATTTTTTATAAAAATTTATAATTACAAGCATACATATAATTAATTAGCTTGACTCATCAGCTCTTCTTTTAATTTATGTTATTGTTAACGAAATATATTGTTTCCTTATTTTATTAAACATCTAAGTTTTGCGTTGCAATGAAACTTATAATTGTATTTTAAATACTTAAAGTACTTATACAAAAAAATTTAGATTAATTTTGTCATTATATGCTTTTCAAATTTTAGTATTGTAATAAGAAAATAACAAATAAAGTAAATAAACTATAAAAATGTGTTTAATAAAAATAAAATGTTTGGAATACAACTTAATTCATATGTATATAGCTTATATTTAAAATATAAATATTACACATTATAACACATTTGTAAAAATATAATATAACCTTAATACTTTTAAGTAAAATAAACATCACGCGCATGTAAGATTGCAGAGATGAATATTTCTTATGCACAATTTGTGTAATATGATTATATGAACCAAAATATTTATCATCTGGAATTAAAAAATGGACATATTACCCTCAGAAAAATGGACGTATTATCGTCAGAGCTATGTAGTTTCCGTACGACTTTGTCACTTGTCACTTTGGAAGTAGTGCGCGGCAGCATTTTGCGGTTACAGATTTTTGACTAGCATGTTCTCTCTCAGGTTTTTCTTTGTTTTTTCTTTCGTTTTGTTGCACTAATGCAAATATGCGGTAGAAACGCGCGCAGATATGTCCACCATTTTTAGAGGCTGATTGTCGGACTCTGTTCTAGGGACACTAGATGCGATAACGGACAATTGCAACGCAATTTGTATCGTAGCGTGCACTAAAGTGTTTAGGGATATTGCAATTGGAAAGCACCCTATATTTCAATGCATCTGGCACTGATTGCGTACGTTGCGGTTGCCGGTTGCCCCAGAGTGCGTTGTTATTTAAAAATGGCGCACGTTTTCGAGTTCGCCTTGATTTGCTGAAACGATTCCACGAAAAAGAATGAACGAGGGGACTTTGGAGAATGCGAGCTCGCTCGAGAAGACGGCGCGGAGGCTCACCGATGATATACAAAGCATGTCGAATTATAGGGCGCTTTACAATGAGATACAAGTACGTGCTCGGTACTCGTTATTGAACGCTCATAAAAATAGCAGTGCATTTCCCATCTGTCTTTTAACTCGCAGAAACTTGTCGCGTCATCCATCGTGAACAAAGACGATTTTAAGAACTCACTGGTCGCAGCACTTAAAGATAATGGTCTGGAGACTGAAATCAGAAACACGGTGTTTCACTGGACACGATCACGGGTATTCCCCAATTAACTCACAATGAACTTTTTATTGTTTATGGCTTAACTATTTACTCCAGTGAGCTCTATAATATAAAGGAATGAAGCGTCTTAATTCCTAGACACAGATGTTTTTTTTTATTAGGAATTGAAACACTGATTGTGAAATAATGTTATTTTAAAATATAAGTAAGACAGAAAGATAAGTGTTATATGCCTGTCTTTTTTTCCTTAAGCCACAATTTTCTTTAATTTAGTATAAGAAAGACGCTAATATATTATAGAGCTCACTACTTGAAACTAAATATATGTATATATATTTAAAGTTTGGCACAAGCAAGAAAAGAAATATTAATGCAATCTAGTGCAGCAATAAATAACAGGGTGTCTATTCTTGAATTTATATCGTATTTGAAAGAAAAACTAATATATATAACGTGTATATAAATAAGGCTGTATGTGATATTTTTCAAGAATAAGACTCAATACAAATCATCTAAATGCATCTTTTTGTTTCTCTCTCTCTTTCTCTCCCTCTTTCTTCCTCCACAGGGTTCGCTGCATTCTAGATCAGTTTCACACATACAGGCAGCTGACCTGGGCTACCTAAAGAAGACTCAGATTCAATGGGAACGACGTATACAGAAGTCATTAAATTCAACATGCAGTGAATTGAACATTCCATTGGCTCGTATAAGATCCACTACTGATAGGGACGAACTGGCTGAAAAGTGGAATGAATTGAGCACTTATGATATGGGTAAATATTATAGTGAATTTGAAAGATGTAATTCAAGTTGTACTTTAAGTTACTTAGGATATGATTTTTAGATTTATCACAATATCGACCACTGTATGCACCAAAGGACTTTCTAGACGTATTGTTCTCCATACGTGATCCTTCATTCAAAAAGCAACTGTATGTAATTACAGATTTGTATAAAAATCAATATCCTACCAGCTTTATGTGTCTATATAAAGATCATTATCAAAATATTTCAGAGACGAATTAAATTGGGATTTTAGTCATATACAGATTAGTGTAAAAACGCTTGCGCAATTGGTGCGAATTTTATTTAATCGCTTCTATTGGTTTGTCTGGAAAGTTCGTGCCACAAAAGATTTAAATTTAATAAATGTATACTAAAATTTAAATCTTTCAATTTTCCTTCAAAATTTCACGAACTTTCCGGACAACCAATAATTTATAATTTATAATTTGTATACATGAGTGTATATATAAAAGATTTCTTTGTATAGAGACGTATGTATTCAGAATTATCACAGGGACTGCCATTACTAGGAATAAATCCTGATATGCCGGCCACAGAAGGTTTCCCAAATTTGGAAGCCGAGCGAACGCACATTGGCGAAAAAGTATTAAACTCGAATCATGCTCCAATTGCACAGGAATTTCTTAAAAGAGGATCTCCTCGAGCTTTACGAGGTCGTATTTGGTCACTCGTTCTCGGATCTGTTATCAAAGATAATGTATGATTAATATCTCGTGTTGCAATGA